AATGCCTCGTTTGTAATGGGTTTTCATGTTTTTGAATCATCGCTCCGGCCTGACAGGGCATCATCACAATATGGTAAGGGGCGTAACATTTCCGTCACACGCTTGAGGTATTCGGCCAATTACAACGCACTGGATAGCTGGTCAATCACAGCACACCTTGCTTTTCAGAACGATGAGCTTTGTAAAAATCGACGCGTTTCAGAAAGGCGGGGCATAGAGGAGAAAAAATCATGTACAGTATGTGGAAAATTATGTGTTTTTTTAACCTTAAACCGCATAAACAAATTTCATTACACCAAATACACAAAATAATGTTCTTTTTAGCAAAACATCATATGACCCCTTTAAGCTAAAGCAAGGGTCCTCAACAGGTGGGCCACCGATTTTAAATCTTAAAAACACGTAGCACAAAAATACAGTACTATTTTTATCTGACATCAGCAGTACACTTTTAAAAAGCATCATAAGAATTATTAAATGAAACACTTGAATACTTACAGCACTCTCATGTTTTTTAGTGTAGAAAAAGAGAGTTGTATTGTAAAGTCTGAACCAGTAAGTCACCCACCGAAGCCTCTGATGAAAACACATTCAACCATTGAGTAAAGAGATTCCCTTAGGTGTATACATTATGTAATAATTGCATAAATTCTGCAATAAGTATAAAGAGAGAATATTAAGCATTCTGCAACAGGCCTTTTAATTAACGAAGTATTTAGCAATAACTGTTTTTTTAGTCACACGGTTCCTGCAAATAACAGACATGAAACGCAAGCAATATGTACATTATAGTCATACCATTTTGTCTTTCCGTTTCTTCAGAAAGCCCTGGCAGAGCGGAGCTGGCGCTACTCCTCCGGTGGACAAGCTCATGGTTCTTTGTATGCTGAAAGCGTTCACACTTCACCATAAACAAATCAACATCATGACTTCCCCCTGAAACAGTCACATCCTCACTTCTGATCTTTGTGTAATAAAGAGACGCTGTCCTCAGTCAAATGCCAAAATACGGCGGAGGTTCTTGTTAATTTGCTTTGCCGTTCTCAATTTTATTCAATTTGTACTCAACTGATTTCCATTTTTGAAAAGACTGCAAAAGATGGGGGAAAAAATAAATAAATAAAAATCCCAATTTAGTCAAATTCGAGTAGGTGTCTCAAAAGCAAACACAAGACAGATTTATTCACACCATTATTTATTGTAAATGTTTGAAAACCCACATGTGCAACAATCCCATGGTTTTGAACAGGGAAACTGCATTGAAAGTTACATATGCATAAGAGCTGAAACATTAGAACAAACATGACGTTGTCTCTACATGATTGTTAGTTAGGAAGAATTCTCTTTATAATGTAGCAAGCAGGTCCTTATTAGTCTGGTTTGGAATTAACCAAATTACGCCATCTCATTACAGAACATAAAAAGTTTTTTTTTCCTGTGCATAATATTTATGAAGAAATAAACAAATTATCAAAATAAAAACCAAATATTGCATAAAAGAATCCATAGCTCTATGACTGCTTGACATAATAAATTAACATACAGTAGCTGAGATGTGCCAAGAGTAAAATGACCTTTACATGTGAGAAATGGCTTTGTTTCAGTGCTTCTCCCACAAGCACGAATGTATCTCTATGTGATACAGTTCAAATATGGTTTGTTCACTAACTAGAGACAATCTTAGAGTGTCCAGTAAGATATATACACATATAAACATAGTGTTGTCACCTATCAGTTAAACCCTCACGCTCTGCTGTCTCTTCAGTATAGGTCACACCAATTAATACTGACCTGAGGAAAACATCAGTGTGCATGAATAAAACCCTCATGTCGGAACAGCAGCGGACACGATTACAGCTCCCGCCATTAATGTAGATGTCCTGTTCCACCACATGGCTGATGAGGTGAGTTCCTATAACACTTGGTTCGGGGAAGGCAGTTTTAACTATACAAAATGTAGCTAACTATTACTAGGAATCTTCTCTCCTAACTGAAATAAGGATGGAATGAGGGATCATGGGTTTTGTAGTTTCTCAGAGGGCCGGGGTTGCTGTAACATGCCGGATGCACTGATCACCGATGCTTGAGGAGAGCTTTGTACACGGCGAAGCCAAGAACAGCAAACACGGTGGCACCGACGCTCGCCCTCAGCCAAAACGTAGAGTTTTTCAGGTCAGCTTGGGTCATGTGTCTGAAAAAAAGAGCAAAAGTGAAGGAAAAAGTGGATGTTTGTTAATAAAACATGAGTGCACTCATATGGTTTGTGAGATGACAAACGACCAAATGTCTAAATATTACTAGCGCTAGAAAATAGGATTTTCAATTAACATCCCTAAATCACCAATTATATACTATTATGTACAAATATATGAAGAGTTTGGTTCCAAAATGCGCTGTGATTGGTTGTTACTGTTTACAGTGCGTGGAATGGTGCGCTGTGATTGGTTGAGCGGATATATCGCATTCTGCAGAAAAGGGAGACTGGCGTTTGTCGCGGTTTGGAAAAAAGGGAGAAAACATGACAGAATAACTCGGCGGATATCGCATTTGGCGTAAAATTAAAAATGGACTTTTCAATACCGACCAGATACCAGATAAAAATGGCGTTTATCGCGTTTTGGAACCAAACTCTTCATATATACCATTATTTGAAAGAACAATCTCTCCCAAATTTCCATTTCCATAATGCAAAAACCAAAAAAATTACAGTTGTTTAATTAATGATTTAATGACCAATTACGATACATTAAAAATATGCAGATATCAATGATGCATTATGTAAAAACTAAAGTAGGTTTCACTCCTTTCAAAAACCAAAAAATTATGTAATAGAGTAATTTTTGTTTCACAGGCAAAAGGCATTAAACTAAAAGAAAGTTCTTCAAAGGTAAGTAAATAGGCTTCATGTAGATTATGCAACATTATTGTTTTTTTTATACATTTATTATTTTTCGTAGGGGGGTTTGGGGTGAAATGTGACCTTGACACGTTTTATGAAATTTACCCTGACAATAATTTGAGCACATAATAGTGTTAATACTTAGTAAAAAATTATTTTGTTTTGCCTATTGGACATCCCATGATATACACAGAGAGATACGCTGTTGAAATGGGGAAAGAGGTAGCATGGGAAAGCAGAGGAAAGCATGAGAGAGCCAGCTAATGTTTTCAGGGGCTGAACATGTTTAAAGGCACACCGCTCAGAAGATAAAGACATGGTCAAAGTGAGAAACCAAACAGAAACAAGAGGTCTCTGGTGAGATGAAACCCACCCAACACAAATCCAGAAGGTTTAACTTGCTTCAAAAAGCTCAACGCTGCACATCCAAACTCAAGACTGAGACACAAAACTTTACCGCTTATTAATGTGAAATAGCAGCTTTGTCACTGAAAAAAAAATTTTTTTCTTTATATTTAATGACTTGTTATTTAGTGGCTTTAATGTATATCAAGCAAATTTGTTATAAAGTTTTTAAAATTTATATATATTTGTATTTATATATATATAAAAAAATGTTGTGCCATGTTTTTTAACCACCTGTAAATTAAGACGATACACTTCTTCAACAGCAGACTGACTATAAAATGACTGGCTAAATGACAGTCAAGAACAATACATGAAATACTATCCATCAAAGCACCAAACAATAATGGCAAGAGAAGCTTGTTTTAGATGAAACACTATATTAGCAGCAACAGGTTAGACATGTTAGTCATCCAAATACAGACACAATCCAACACATAAACTAGGCCGTTTAGATGTCACATCACTGCATATGACCAGTTAGTCCTGAGAAAGCTTGCTTAACTAATGCTGAGAAACAGATGATGGTTAGAGAGGATAGGGACAGACGGGGAGATTGCTAACATGATGTAAAGAGATGCAAAGCAAAGATGAAAAGGGCAAGCCAAACAAACGAAAAGGAACACCTATGAAGGGACACAACAAAAATTCACAAGATTAAATTCAACAGATTTAAATTCAATATATATATAAAAAAAGTTTTCACAAAATTTTGTGCACCATGAGAACAAGATGAAAAACCAAAAGGGTGTAAGACAGGCACATGCTTTAAAGAAAATATGATGTATAAAATAAAGTTCTGCAATAACATTAATGGTTACTTATTCTTTTCTATGTAAATAAGCATAGGGAAATCGTTCAACTCACACCCGTGCATTCTTCTGGTGTTACATTTTAGAAGCAGTAAGAAAGATTAGAAGATCTATGCAATCTAAGAGATCAACTGCTCAGTATCTAAAAACAACTCAGGAAGAAATGCAACCAAAAAGGAAGGGCTCATATGAACCAGGTGTCCACATTTGTCCCTGGAGCAAGGATGAGTGAATCAGTGCAGATTTACAGCTTGCATATCCACCTCAACTCACTAGAAAGAAGGGTTAAACATCATGAGGACAAATGCAAATCTGTCTTATTCAGTCCAAAATGGTTTTAATGAATAATTCATAAGAGTCCTTGTTTTGAAAATGCTTGTTTAGTGTCTATCAGCATTGACAGAGGAATTCAGGTGTTCAACAACAGTCATGTGAAAAAATTTAAATCATTTGAAGATCAATTTAAAATCATTTAAGATTAAAATCATTTGTTTCTTGTATTTAAAAAAAAAATATTCCCATCTTTAGTTTTAAATTAACATTCATATTTGAAAAAAAAAAAAAAAAAGTTCAGCTCAAGCACACAAGCAGGATTTAGTCGGCTTCGCACACTGGGTTAAGAAACAATTGCTAAGATGCCTGAAGCAGAATCAAAAGTGCACTACCAAGCCTCATATGCATTACTGAGTCTTAAATAGCAAATGCTGGATTCAAATGCAATGTTAATCAACAAGAGCTGCTAGAATGCCATATGTTTGGGCTTTGTGTGGATGAAATGAGTCAATGGGAGCATCTGGCCAGTCTACTTGGAGACATCTCTGACTTTTTGATAGTTAATGATAAATTTGAACTTTAAAATAACACAGAAGTGATCATTTTAACATATAGCCAGAACATTTCCCAACATCTCTCTGTGGATATGCAATGTAAACCTGTCAGGCCAACAGCAAGAAGGCGTGTTAAGAAGCCGAGGTTAGAGAGATCGCCCTGCGGAGTGGGTGAATGGGGGATATATAGGGCTATACTCAGAGACCTGTTCAGAACAGCACTGTAGAGTTTGGCCTTTACCGAGCGCACCAGCTCAGAGTTCAGGAGGTTGTGACAGATGCAATACGTGCACCTGTTGCAGCTGCACATGCAGCGTAACTTGGCATGGCTGCAGAAACACACACAGACAGGAAGAGTCAGTATCATGTGACAGCTCCAGGAGAGCTGGAACCCAAAGCTGCTTCTCTGCTTGGGCTTGGAGATGGAGGAGTGCAGGGACGTAAGCTCAGTAAACTAAATATATGGGGGGGGGGAAACTATTCTATTGCTGTGAGAAGAGATTCTTGGGAAAACTGGCTATCTACAGACACGTTATGCAAAAAGAAAGAACAGGAAAAGTACACTGGGAAGCCTTGAAACATCACAACAAGTAAAACACATAAAAGGAAAGATTCCTAGAAGCTAGCAAAACAAGCTCGAGCAAAAAGCTTGAATAGGGCTGCACGATTAATCCAAATAAAACCTAATTCGTGATATGGTTTTTGTGTGATTATCAAATCAGGAAGACTGCAATTTAATTGAATATTTGTGCTGCGTTGATATCATTTTATTTATTTTAATTTATATTTAAGAAATTTGAAATCATTTGAAAATGAATTAAAAAGTAAATGTGTTAAATAAACATACTTATACTTTAGATGACAAAGTATTTTTCACAAATAAATAAATATTTAATAAAAATATAAAAAAAAAGGAAGTAAACACTGTAACCAACAGGGCACTCAGTATTCTGGGAAGTTTGTGTGCACTGGGATTTGGGAATCATATTTTTTCCAAATAAAGCCAAGGTAACAGTGGAAATTACATGAATATGGCAGTGGGCAAATGCATAAAGCGCAGCATAATTTGAAATCACGAGTTTAAAGTTTGTCGATCACGCGTCTCCAGTGAAGCTGAACTCTCCTCCAGTCCGCATTCAATTCACACGAACCGACCGTCACGCAGAGAACACACGATCATGCAGGTCACATGCACACTTCACAAGATCTCAACTATATTAGACTAAGTCTGCAAGGTTTGTGAAATTAAATGTTCATTAGTCATTCAAAGATTTGTTTAAATTATATAAATGCGTATTTGCTGAATGCTACTAATTTATTACTAATAATATAAAAGCAGTCATTATAATACTTTTATTTAATTTAATTTTAATTCCTTTGTTTAACAGTTCTATCTGATTATTAGATAGACTTATCCACATTAGACAGAACTGTTAACGACGACGGCGAACAAGAGGGAGAATGTGAGCACTGAGTGTTCAGGCGCTGCCGTTCTCAGCGCCGTCAAAATAAA